ATAATAATAATAATAATAATAATAATAATAATAATAATAATAATAATAATAATAATAATAATTATGTATATACAAATTAAAAGCATATACGTTGAAAATAAAAATATGCCTAATCTTTATTGCAATAAAAAAAAAAAAGATTGGATGTTACAATATTTTTCAAAAAATAAACTTCCGAAAAAAATTAACATCATCATCATCTGAATTATCGGATATACTCAGTGGCGTATGAATTACAAATAAATTATATAATATCAGTGGTGGATCCAGGAATTTGAAATAGAGGACCACCAAAGAGGGCTAAGGTAATGACATTTATGACTGTGGCTCCTCTGATTGGCGGGAAATGGCACTCACAGACTTAAAAGTTGAATATAACTTTCTTTTTATTTGATTGGATATTACAATATTTGTCAAAGCATAGACATAAAAAAAAATCACAAGTACATTCGGCAATTAAGAAATATTTAAAAGCACACAAATGGATTATACCAGAAAAAGCAACATTATATATCATATTATAATATCATTTATTTGATAGAAAATTTCGAGTATTCTTGTGCTCTCTCAGTGAAATGCGTTATATAAAGGTTCACTATGAGAATTAACATGAAATTTAAAAAAATGACCTTTATGTGAATTGAAAGTTATTGGAAGCAGAAAAATCTCCTTCCCAAATGGTATTGCAATTGAAAATGGAGATGTATAAATATTATTTATAGCAGTAAACATTGTTAGTATTTTTTATTATACAAATTTTGAAATTTTTATAGAAATAGAAAAGAGATTTCAGTTTTACATTCTATAGTATTGTTATGAAGGTAAATATTATCATTGTTTTTACGTTTGAGTTAGACTTTTTTACAATGTGTGTAAAGCAATTTGTATTTTTTTTAGTAATAAGCCTATATCAAACGTAAAATTAATAGCAGGAAACCAGACACTTTTTTTGCAGCTATAAACTTATCCATCATTTATGCTCTCGATAATCCACTTTCGAAATTTAACAACATCTGTAAAGAAATCGTAATTACCGGGTACACCACAGCCTATACCCCAGCTATTGATACCAACCAGGTACCATCGACCCAAGTATTTACGTACAAGTCCAGTGCCACCGTCGCCAAAACAACTGCCAAGTCCGTCGTCATCATGGTCTAAACATATCATACTTTCTGTTATCTGCGCCGCAGGAAACGGTTCTGCTGATTTTTCACAAGCCGTAAATTCCAAAAAGGGTAAAGTGAGTTCTTTCATATACACCGGAGTAGGTCCAGTATTCCTAATTAAACCCCAGCCGTGGAATCGCATAAGAGCATGAGGTGTCTTCAAACCGGTTCCGAGACACACACTCGGCAAACAGACCGGTCTCACGTAATTTGTAAAACGACGAATTTTACTTGATAAACGAATTAGGGCGATGTCATTATTAAAAGTCTTTTTTTCAAATTCGGGATGGGTAATTATGCGCGACACATTTAATATTTCTTCGTCTGGGTCTTTATACCGTACGTCATAATCACCGATTGTAATTGAAACGTCTTCAGGTCCGTGAATAGGCCCTAGACAATGAGCAGCTGTAACAACCCATTCATAATTCAGTATGCTACCCCCACATATAAATCTTCGTGGTGTTATGTGATACAAACGGACTGCCCATGGAGCTGAACCCTCGATGGCTCTTTTGTCGCTATAACTTGCATGGTGTACTTTAGAAGTTACAACTCCGCACACTGTAAAATAAAAAAGAGAAAGAAAAATCGAAATAATAACGTTTTTAACCCTAATTAAAATTCAGCCTCATAAACCAGAGGTGTATTACTTCAAAATCATTTCATTAAATATTGTGAAACGTTAATAGTGATAACAAAATAATAACAAAATATAAATAGTAAGAAATGGTCGCATAATCGGTAATGTCAATCTGTATAAAACTCTTAAATAGATACTTGTCAATTGATTGGTGGATTTCGTATCACGTGACATTGGTTATTTTACCCATTTCGTCACTCATGGATATTTTGTTCCACCGTTCATTTGCATTTTCGTTCCATCCTTTTCGCTCGTTGCACGACGCATAGGATGACTAAATTTGCAAAACAATGGAAATTGAATTTCAATTATAAGAAGTCCAACGTCATGGTCATAGGTAAAAGGGTAAATAAAAACAAAGTTTGGAAATTAGGTGATTACAGCATAAATGAAACAGATATATACAAGTACCTTGGTGTACTTTTTTCAAGAAATATGAATGATCATAATCATGGCGAATATGTAATTAAGAAAGGAAATCGTCTTATTGGTTATATAAAACCAATTATCAATAATCTCAATAATTTTAATGGAGTGTATTATGGTAACATCCTGTGGCGAACGATCGCACTTCCATCTATCAATTACACAAGTGCGGTGTGGGTAAATGGAAGCAAAAGTGACCTTGAAAAAATTGAAAGGCTGCAAATGCAAATGGCGAGGTGTATTTTAAAGGCTCCAAGAAACACATCGCGTTCTACCCTTTACGGAGACTTTGGATGATCCCCATCATCGAATCGACAACAGGTATTACTATCATACATATTCTTACCTCAGCCCCAATTATTTGGGGGTGGGGCTGAGATGGTATCTGACCTTCCATCTCTGAAAGTCCTCCCCGCACCCTCTATTTTAAATTCCAAGATCCGCCACCGATATCATATCATTTAACTTATCGTTAAAAACATTTATAATAAAATGACAAACATGATTAAAAAAAGAGCACATCTAAAATCTCACAATGGAATTGACAACCGGGGTCCAAAAAGGGTCCCCAGTCTTACAAAGCCATAAGTCCACCGGCCCAATCGTTACGTCACTGAATATAGTAGGCCTATGTTGATTGTAATTTAACTGAACAAATTTAATTTTTCGTTTCATTTAATTTTCAATATTAATATCAATATCATAAAACAGTTAAACAAACAATTAAGGAACATGAAAACAAAAGTAACCCCTTGTCGGTGACAGGATAGACAAAAACAAAACTTTATTGCTGTGTTGTTTTCCGCCAACATGTTTAGCACATTATACTTACATAAAACATCAAATAGAAAATATAATTTGTATTTCAGTATAAAAATATATTATATAAAAACAAATTGATATGAAACATTAAAATTATAAGATAAAATCTTTAAAGCAAAAAAAATATCAAACATCAAAGAAAAATAATTTTGCAATAACTAATTAATGAATGTTAAAATAATGTTTGTGTTTACCTTCCTCTGGACTTATTGAACATGAGTCTGTTGACACGTAGGCATCTTGTTGGAAAGAAATAGTAAATTATATTATGTCATTGACAAGGGGCAAATACACACTAGTTAGCAACCATAAAAAACGATAACAAACACGAATACGTCATATCCATCATCGTCATTTGTGGCTAAGACATTCTTGAAAATACATATTATACGAGATGAATATGATCGTTGACTCATGTAAAAGGCATAGATGGCCTATGCTGTGACAGATATGTTACTGTAAGCGATGGATCGACTAAAATATCGATGACGTAACCGTATTCGTTATCGTTTTCGTAAGCTTACGGAACCTCCCTACTATCAGAATTATGACAACGTAAATAGTGATGATGATAATAATAATAATGCGACGTGCGAAGCACCGAGCTGTGTTTAAAAATCATTGTTAAAAATGCTTTAGCATAAGCACTTGTACATGGTATTTAAATCGCTTGTCTTGGAGTAGGCCTTTCCCATTTCTTTTCTTTTCTTCTCTCTTTTTTTCTCTCTTAGTTTTTTTTTTGGGGGGGGGGGGGGGGGTGGTGCTAGCCTTGGTGAATCAACCCTATAGCTAGCTAGGTAGTCGTATGGCATATGCACACTAAACCCATATCATAATCATAAGTTATTTGTGTAAGTTTTGTCGAACATTTTCAAATGTTTATTTCTTTATATCACAGCTTACTACTATGTTTTTCCGTTAATTTTTATCATTCATATACTATCGATTTTCAAAGATTGAACTGACCGATTGAATTGGCTAAAAATACACAATATCAGTATATAAGTATGATGATAACGTCGGTGATGATGATGATAATTATGATAATACAGTAATAATAATGGGCCTAATAATAGGCCTGATAATAATAATAATAAGGCCTAATAATAATAATAATAATAATAATAATAATAATAATAATAATGATAATAATAAATTATTGTATCATCGGCACGGTGAAGTAACCCTATAGTTGGGTAGTATTAGGTCATATTGGGTGATTCTACAGTTACTGTTATAGTTAATCATAATTTCCTTGTGTAAGTATTATGGATCATTTTGAAAGTTGCAAACTTTTATTTTAGTATAACGAAATAATAAGCTTTGAAATTGAATATCCAAATAATGTTTGTTTACCTTCCAAACTGACTGAGCCTGTTGACACGTCTTTATCTTGTTCTAAAGTACCTATAAAAGACAGGGCCAGGATCAATTCAGTAATAAACGATAACGATCAAGCTAAAGATATCGATAATGATACCGATAACAAGAGACAATATTAATATTGATAATGGAAATAATAAAGAAAGTGATAGCATGCAGTTACATAATTTGTTTTCTTCTTTTGTGTTATCTTTTTTTGAATTTACTGCATTGCAGTAAAATCATTGTTGATGTCATTGCCAAAGGAAAAATACACAATATTAGTAGTATGATGATAACGTCGGTGGTGATGATGATAATAATAATAATAATAATAATAATAATAATAATAATAATAATAATAATAATAATAACAACAACAACATGCCTAATTGGCCTAATGATAATAATAATTATGATAATAATATAATTATTATTATTAATATTGTTTATTATTGTTATTATTATTATTTTAAAAATTATAAATTCTTGTATCGTCGACATAGAGAAGTAACCCTTTTGCTAGGTGGTCTATAAGCTCAGGTCGTATGGGTGACTATACAATTACAGGAAATCATAAGTTGTTTTAATCATTTGTTTAAGTATTATGGGTTTAAATTTTATTTCTCTTAAATTTAATTTCCATTCAATGAATGCTTCATCCCAAAATATTTTTGTCTCCTAAAAGAAATTATTTTGACTGATGCACTGATACCGTATTTTTTTTTCTGGTTTGGTATATATTTGTTTTGATTGTTCCAATCTATATTTTCTTTTTTTGTTATACAGATGCATCATCAAATGGATGTGTGCAACTGATTTTAAAGCGATTCCAAATAAAACCTAAATCCAAGATCCGTTAATTTGAATCATTCATATACTATCCATTTTAGAATATTGTTGGACATCCACTGAAGAAAGTATGTCTTCATTGTAAACTTCATTTTAGTATAATAAAAAAAAAGGAATAAATAATGATTGTGTTTACCTTCTGAAATAACCGAATTGAGTGAAACAGAGTTTGTTGACGAGTCAATATCTTCTTGTAAAGTACCTACAATAGACAAGTTAAGGAGATCCATCTTCTTTGTCTTATATCAGTATATAAGTATGATGATAACGTCGGTGATGATGATGATAATAATAATAATAACAACAACAACATGCCTAATAATTGGCCTAATGATAATAATAATTATGATAATAATATAATTATTATTATTAATATTGTTTATTATTATTATTATTATTATTATTTTAAAAATTATAAATTCTTGTATCGTCGACATAGAGAAGTAACCCTTTTGCTAGGTGGTCTATAAGCTCAGGTCGTATGGGTGACTATACAATTACAGGAAATCATAAGTTGTTTTAATTATTTGTTTAAGTATTATGGGTTTAAATTTTATTTCTCTTAAATTTAATTTCCATTCAATGAATGCTTCATCCCAAAATATTTTTGTCTCCTAAAAGAAATTATTTTGACTGATGCACTGATACTGTATTTTTTTTCTGGTTTGGTATATATTTGTTTTGATTGTTCCAATCTATATTTTCTTTTTTTGGTTATACAGATGCATCATCAAATGGATGTGTGCAACTGATTTTAAAGCGATTCCAAATAAAACCTAAATCCAAGATCCGTTAATTTGAATCATTCATATACTATCCATTTTAGAATATTGTTGGACATCCACTGAAGAAAGTATGTCTTCATTGTAAACTTCATTTTAGTATAATAAAAAAAAAGGAATAAATAATGATTGTGTTTACCTTCTGAAATAACCGAATTGAGTGAAACAGAGTTTGTTGACGAGTCAATATCTTCTTGTAAAGTACCTACAATAGACAAGGCCAGGATTAAGTTAAGGAGATACATCTTCTTTGTCTTCTAATTGAATGGCCAACTCGATTAAGAATTACCAAAAACTGAGGGTAACATAGACTTATATTTATAGTACACTGATATTATGAGGCTAGTCTTCCGGGAGGGATTAACTATAAAAAGGTGCGTCAATGCGGTAAACATTATTCGATATTCCTGTGGTACTAACAGAACCAAAGAGGGATTTCTTTCAGTTTTTAAATTGATTGATTGAATATAAGTTAATTTGTTGTAACATTAGAATTAATTTTTGTTATAATTTTACAATAATTTTAACACGGGACCATAACATATAGCAATATCAAAGCAGTTTCTGCAATATCAATAAATATCGATAAAGTCTGCCACCCTCTATATAATACATTTGTGGCACAAGATCTTTGCAAAGCAAAGCTCAACACAAAAAGAAATATTTTGGCCCTTTAAACAAATTAATTAGCAACCAAGGGTATATAGTAATTTTGGATGACGTCACCAAAAGAAGCCACACCTTCCTCGCTTAGAGTCGTGGTATTCATCAACTACCTATTTGCAAAACAAAGGTAATACCAACCTAATTTGTTTAGAGGGCCAACATATTTTTTTGAATTAATCTGATGGGCCAATGATAATATTTGGGTGATGGAGCAACTCGTCATAATGTTTTTGTTTTACAAGAAATATCATGTTACTGCACGATAGTTTTCACAAGATAAAGAGAATGCTAAGACAATAAGAAATAGCATTCAATGTACTGTATATAAAAGTTTAAACAATTATATAATTATTATTTATATATCCGCAAATGAATATAAAGTTATTATGATAGATAAATAACGCTAATTAAATTAAATATATTTAATGAAATAGGCCTGTTATGCTACCAATAACTGTAAAAGAGAATTTAATATAAAAGTAGGCGGCGCATAATAATTATTTGAAAGAGAATCATGAATGGACACTGAGCGCAAACGTACTGTACAAGAGCAAGAGTGGTGCTGTAATAAAATCAGCGCGTCCTTCCTTACCAGAAATAATATTGCCGCTAGGAAATAGGTGTGAAATTAATAGGCCAAAAGAGCAAGTATGTTAAATAGAGATAACCTGATTGCTTTCCTCTATTTCTTATGTGAACCGGATGCAAACTTGTGAATGCATCAAGAATCAATCTGCGAATTGATTGGATAATGCTTTTGTATCATCGGCACACCTTGTGCGAAGTGTTTTAGGTTTTGCCAGGAAAAACAAGTAGGTAAAACATAGAAAAATGTGTCAAACTATGCTTTAATTTTTAAATTGAAATACGTAAAGCCTGGTTAGGACTATGCAATTTAATTATTCGACGACTACGCTTACTACTCTTCGTGTCATTTAACAACCGTCAATTCCCAACAAACTAGTTTGCGAGGAACGAAATTAACACGATATTCCGAACCGGGTGGCGCCACTTGCGGTGACAGGACCCCATGTCAGACAGAGCTCTCTCACTCAAGACGTCAACATGATTCGTCAGATAAAATTATCCAATGTAATTTTTACAGAGTATCAGACTAATAAGCACTCCAAAATTGTTGGAGCTTCCGGAGAGATGATCTCTGGTGATGAGCGGCCATTCTGATCAGTGGAATGAATATTTTTTTGTATGTGCTGATTTTATGTTTGTTGATATTATATATTTATATGTTCACAGGATTTATATTTCATATATTGCTTATATAACATGTTATGTTTATCGCTGTTGGTTTTTGAATGAATAAAATAAAAATAACCCCCATCCACTTGTGCTTCCATTGGGTAATATTGCTATCCCGGTGATATTGCTCTTTCCCCTACCGTTGAGCAAATCTTGGCGCCACTCACATTTGTGATGATTTTAGCAAGCAAGAAATTATGTAATATTATCAAAGACTTAAATAGCAAAAGAATGAGCTGTTCCGCGTATTTGCATTAAAATTGATGGAGCATCCGCCCTCCCGCGAATGGGGTAAAATTTGAACATTTTACTAAGTGGAGGAACTAAGGAAACAGAAGAACCAGAGCAGCGCTTTCATTATTACTATATAGCGCCTCCGCGCGGACGGGGTAAAATTGCTCTCCGTGTACCCACAATGCCTTTCGAACGGATGTTCCACTTTATTGATAAGCTGCTCTATCTTCTGCTATTTATTATCTTTGATCACTGTTACAAAAGTTAAGGTTCCATACTCTCAAATTATCTTGACAATAAAATATACGGTAATATAAATAGACTCTATACAGTACTAAATAATATACATAAAAACATTCAAAACTGTAAAAATCAAGCAATTAAAGTTAACAAAAAGAAAGATGGGGGGGGGGGGGGGGGAGAGGGAAAGAGGGAGGCGAGTAAATGGAGAGGACTGTCCGATAGACTGCGCAATACCACTAAGAGCTGGGACTCTAATATAATACGTGTGATTGATGAGAGTGCAGAAATGTTGGGAAGGAGTCAATAATAAGGGAATTTTTTTTTATTTTCTGGAAGTTTTTCCCATAGTCTCTGGAACAGATTTTGTATTTATTTATTTTTTCTTTATACTAAATATACACTTTCAATACATAGTATTTGGTTTCCAAAGTGGTTCAATTCTTAACTACAAAATTTTAAAAGCAGATATATACACATTGTAACCAAAAAATGTTGATAACTTATTATTCTGATCAGTGATATGAATATTTTTTTGTATGTGCTGATTTTATGTTTGTTGATATTATATATTTATATGTTCACAGGATGTATATTTCATATATTGCTTATATAACATGTTATGTTTATCGCTGTTGGTTGGTTTACCCCCACCCACTTGTGCTTCCATTGGGTAATATTGCTATCCCAGTGATATTGCTCTTTCCCCTACCGTTGAGCAAATCTTGGCGCCACTCACATTTGTTTTTTGATGATTTTAGCAAGTAAGAAATTATGTAATATTATCAAAGAACTTAAATAGCAAAAGAATGAGCTGTTCCGCGTATTTGCATTAAAATTGATGGAGCATCCGCCCTCCCGCGAATGGGGTAAAATTTGAATATTTTACTAAGTGGAGGAACTAAGGAAACAAAAGAACCAGAGCAGCGCTTTTATTATTACTATATAGCGCCTCCGCGCGGACGGGGTAAAATTGCTCTCTGTGTACCCACAATGCCTTTCGAACGGATGTTTCTCTATATTGGGAAGCTGCTCTATCTTCTGCTACTTATTATCTTTGATATAATGTAGTTAGATTTATGTAGCGCTTTGTACCAAAGTCTCAAAAAGCCAGAGATGTGGACTAGCTCGTAACTCCCCCCCCACCCCCGGTTCTTAGTGCCTTATCATGTCTGAGCTACACGGTACTCAGCTACTCTCGTCTGTCCACGCCGCTGCCTTAACCTCTCTGCCATCCGATTTGAGATCATCAACAGACAAGAAATATTTCTTGAAGTGCCTTCTTCTTTTGGCCAAATAATAATTAAATCTTATGGTTTCAATACATTATAATTACAATGAATACCGCGTCTTATAATGTTGCAGTGTAGTAAAATCAAAAACAAAATTTTAAATGACCAAAAGAAACAACTTTTGCGCTAGCAGGCGGATTCGGCCACTGTACCCAATAGTTTTACAGGTTTATAAAGTATAATAAATTGCTCGCAACTCGGAGATTATCGTTGGCCCGTCAGATCAACTCTACAAACAATTTGACCCTTCAGATAAATTAATTGAGAACCAGGGGACTAGACAATAGTTTATATATATAGTTGAAAATGGAAGGAAAATCCCCGGATGGAAAAAAAAAATCCGATGGGGGAAATTAGCAGGTTGCAAGTAATCACACTGTTATTTTCTGTAGAATAGATCCTCAAACTACCTCGATTTTTAATTCTACAATTGTTCCCAGGCTTTTCCAGGTATGGCTAGAACTTACTTAACTTCGGCGTTTATTTAGATCTCAGTGGGTTTCCACTACTCAAAGACAAGCTTGCGTACAAACCTAACGTGCAAACTTTCATCTATTATATAATAAAAACCATGTTCACACACTTGATCGTTCCTTAAATATTAGTGGACATGGCCCAGCCCAGAGGTATTTTGTTGTCTTTTATTTATTTTAACATTTCATAATAACATTACATTTACGGAAAATCAACAAATAAAAGTAAATAGACATTTTGATAAAACGCACAAAAAAAAGTTTCTCTCAAAGTACAAAAATTTCTCTATGGATAAATTTGAAACTAATACAAAAACAGCCTCTTTTTATTTAAAAGACATGGGCCTAAGCTTAGGTTATAGAGAAAAGATATCAAGAGTGGCGCTGGCGCCAGTGGGGCCCATAAGGCCAGCCCCCTCCCCACCCACCAAATACAATAGGCCTACAATATAAAATAACAATGACTTACAAAATATAGAGAAAATTGCCTTAAAACCAGAGAATGAATGTTAGGACGACCCATAAAATCAACAAACGTTAATTTATTTTCAATGGGGTCCGAAGCAGAACGTCCGGGTGACGTAAATGCTATAGAAAAGACAGCAATTTTTCAATGCAATAAAATAATAATACAAATTTATATATTACCACACCTTAAAATAGATATGCCCATATCAAGTGTACCATACACTTTTATAACAGTAATACACACGTGGTGGAACCAAAATAGCAACAACATTAATATGAAAATACAAATTAAAAACTAATAAATCGTAGCTAAATATTCATCTAATTAAAATGACAAATGTATACAACGCCGGTTGGGCTAGACCAAAGATCTTACAATATAAGATATTCGGCCTAGCCAAATAATATGTTGACTACGGTACTATGGATGCAATAAAAAGTAAAATATTGTATGTTTTAGGGGTCGATAAACATTAACAACTTTTTCACAAAATTTCAAACAGTACACTTGCGGGGAGCATGCTAGCGGGGAAGGGGTAAACAAATTTGTACACTTTTACATATGCATAAAAATGTTGATATAAAATAACATGCAATATGTAAAATAATAGTAAAATTATAATGTAACCCTAGATTAATATTCATTTTTAAGCAACCAAGTACATTGCTTTAGTTGACTTCACAAAAAAATTGACCATTTCTTTGTACACACTCAGAGGGGAGGGAGGGGGTACCGAAAAAGAGTACTGTCTGTACACTTGCGAAAATGTTGATAATTATGAACAACCCATTAGTCTTAAGGGTATATAAAGTACACTATATAAAAGTAATACAAAATACTATGATGTTCAATATCATGTACAATGGCTTTCTCCAAGTCCTTTTCCCGTAGCAATCGAAAAGCTAAAGGCGAACATTTTATGGGTGACGATATAGAGGGCTCACTCTTCAATACAAAACATGGCGTAGTAAGACGTATGCTACGGTTACAGTGAGTACACATGTGCGGCAATCAAGAATGAAGATTTAGGTATAGGTACCGTACATATTCATTAGGCAATATTATCTATATTAAGTCACTGTTATTTTTCATTGCTAAGTCATACTGTATATTTAGCGAAGTTGCTTACCTAGGCCTACCTAACTACTACTCTAGGCTAGGCCCCTACTACTAGTATCTAGCTAGCTACTACAGACTAGCGTGGGCTTAGGCCTAGGTACAGTAGGCCAGGTGCCTAGCCTAGGCCTGTATATTACTAAAGCGATGACCCGGTTTAGGCCCACTGTTAGGCCAGCCTAGTAGGCCTATATATTATTTAGCCATATTCACCTTTAATTTTGATACGACCTTGTTGACTAACAGTATTAAAAAAAAAAAAAAATCTTGTGTTAGGCCCAGCCACGTTTTGGGGAAATCCTCAAAATGGGTAGGTCGGTAGGAAAAGGTTTTTTTTGTGTTTACGCCTAAAAAGTCAAAAATACAACAAAGACTATTTAAAATCTATTGAAGAGCAAAAAGATAGCATAACACTTTCGCATCGCCTACCGTCGCTAGATACGTAGGCCTATTCAATCCTTTTTAGCTTATTTAAAATATATTTTTCGTTGTAGTAAAACTAAAATGCCGACCCTCAATTTGGAACATTTTGGGTTGGTCGGGTGTGCCAACACAATACTTCTTTTTATTTGGCCTAACATGCAATGATAGGGTTACAGTAGGGTTTCAGTCGGCAACGGCAGTGGGAAATGAAATACTATATATAAAAAATTTTGAACACAAAATATTTAATATCTATTTGATATAAAACAACAAGCATCATTAATTATGATTAGTAGTAGAACAGCAGGACGACGTCAGACGAAAAATCCCAGTTGTCTGTACTGTACATTTTCCACAGAAGGTATCAGTGGTTACCACATAGTAAAGTTATGCAAGTTATTTATGAAAATAAATAGCGTTGCAACCCCCGAAATTGAACCTCAAGATGTGTCTGTATCATTGCGCATAGCCTACAGTAGGCTGAGGCTAGAGAGTACAGTTGTCGTTTGAGTTGTGAATTTGTTTGATTATTTTTGACATTTACAAACCATAAACTAATGTTCTATGACTAGTAATAATTCAAACTCTAGTCATAATTTCCTAATTCGTAGTGTACTTCCTTCTGATTTCCTGGATTTCATACATCGGGGCAAAAAGAATGACATTCGTGCAATGAGAGGATGGTTTTGAATTGGAAAAATTCACACTGTGCGTTCAATGCACATGCGCAATAGTGAGTCGAAATTCTAATGTTGGTCATTTGGGTTCCGGTGTTGAATTAATAACCATGGAGAAGAATATCTAGTAAGATACAATATGTAATTAATAAACCTCAAACTATGACTTTATTGTACACAAGCTGTTATTCAAGAATAGAAGTGTTCGCTTATTAAAAGATAAATGCTGATTTGTGATGATGGGCAGTAAGTGGTTGTGTCGGTTGTGTTTTGTGTGTGTAATAATATACATCTTTTCCCTAGAGACCATTGTTTTGATTTACTTATCTTGATGAGAATGTTACACAAAAAATATAGTAATAATGGTGTATGTGTGTTTGTAGGTCAAAGATTACAATAGGGATTGTGGTGATCATGCTAAGTTTGTGTTTTTTTTATTTTTATAGTTGTTCTTACAAAGAAGGAAGGATAAACATTTTCAAGATGGATGATTCTTATAGAAATGTTTTATCACCAAGAGAGTCTGCTAAGTTTATAGCTACCAATAGCACAGATGTCAAAATAAAGAAAGATGGAGTTGAAAGAGTTGCTAAAATTGTAGGTATAAGGATCCTTTAATTTGAGAAAAAATTAGCCATTTCTAAAGTATTCTATATTTAATACATGCATGTTACATTATTACCACCACCCTCTTTTTTTTTTCTTTTTTTTTTGGAGGGGGGGTGGTAATTTTGGGAGGGGGGTGGTAATTTGGTTCACCTGTAACACTAGGCTCTATATTTTGGGAGGGGGTGGTAATTTTGGGAGGGGGGTGGTAATTTGGTTCACCTGTAACACTAGGCTCTATAGTTTCATGTGTATTCAGCATCACTAGCATGCAACCGTAATTAATATATTTGAATAAATAGAATGTTAATACCTTATTCATCATTTATAAACACATACTTGCTGGTTCTAATTATTAATTTATTATTTTATTATTGGATTTTAAAAGGATATGCCAATTAACACCAAACTTAATCACTAAATTAATCACTAAACTTAATCCTTCACAAGGCAGACATAAACACAAGATGCTCTACATCACTGTTCCGCAACCTATGTGACCCAATGTTTGGGTTGCGGAAAAATTTTGATGGGTTGCATAATTTCTTGAGATCGTGTAAACTTTACTTAATAAGAATAAGGACAAGTAAAATCAAATTACAGTAAACGAAAGTGTGGCATGTGCGTCAGTTTACTTTTGTAATGTGTGGTTTAATCATAGTTTCATGTTAAAAATACACTATCAAAACATTTGTACTCCAGTTATGAAAACTTGAAAGTGTTAGTTTTGTTATTACCTCCACCAATGAAGTTGGCTGGAGGTTATGTTTTTGCCTGATTTTATATTTAGTTATTTATTTGTCTGTGGGCATATTTGTTGTGAACAGCCTACAGCCCATAGTTTTTATTAGAAATTCTTTAAACTTGTCCCAATGTTCCTTTACCTAAGATCTAGAGCTGATTAAATCTTGCAGGGTCAGGGTCAAAATTCAAGGTCACAATCAATGAAAAACTATTTTTTAATTTATTTGTCTACAGCCCATAGTTTTAATCACAAACTTGTCAAACTTGGTCACAATGTTCCATGACCAAAGATCCCGTTACCTCCACCAACAAAGTTGGCAGGAGGTTATGTTTTTGCCCCTGTTTATTTATTTATGGGATTTACAACAGCAGTCGCAGGCCCTTTCTACCGCAATTGTTATCAGTGCTGTGGGGAAAATCGAACCCTTTTACATGGTTTGGTTAAATGATGTGTAATTCAAAGTTCTTTTAATTTTTAGGCAATTTATCTTGATGTTGTGGGTGATCGTATCTTTTAATTGACTGATAAAAGAATCAAGTGGGTGGTTCTTCTCATACCTGCTATCCCTTGCGCGATATAAAATGACGGACATGATTTAGTGGCTTCGGGTTCGATGGGTCTCGTCTGAGTGCTTGACATATAAATTGGGTCGTGGGCTAAAAAGGTTGTGGAACGGGGCTCTACATAAAGTCACATTATGAATCTTAGGGAACGGAGTTGTTGTGACCATGAAAAATATCCTCTTACCTTCACAGGAATTGAACCCAGGGATTGGAAAGCAAGCATGTTAACCACCAAGCAGTTGCACTCATAATCTAAGATAATTATTAGATAATGTTACTGTGTTCGAAAATTGCAAATAAATTATGTTGAGTTGATAAAAATGTTTGAAATTTTTGTGCATTTTAGATTCAAGAAAACCTTTGTAGCAGTGAGTATAGCATAAAGGCATGGAAGCAACATAAACTCCATCCACAAAAAATGGAGGCACCAACTGTAGATTGGTAAGTAAATACTCTGTCCACACGTCAAATTACATTTGACAATGTCATTGATTTTGCCATATCAGGGCATGATGATGTCATAGCACACCCATATATGGGCAAATCACAAGTGTTTGTTACATTACTTTGTTTTTTTGTTTTGTTTTTTTTTCTGGCTTTTTTCTTTGTTTTCTTGACTACAGTATTGTCGAGCGCACAGTGACCTCATTTATTTGCGCTATATAAATACATCTGTTATTATTATTATTATTATTATTATTATTTATATAGCGGCTTTCTTTGAAAGCGCCTTTCTTTCTTACAAAGCGCTTTTGATTGATGGGTCGCTAAATCATCAGCCTACAAAAAATATTCTGCGATGTCATGCAAGAACTGCTTGACCTTTTGACGTCTGACAGTTTTTATGTTTTATTTATTTTTCTTTCCAGGATATTTGTAATTGATACATTGAATTTTTCTTTTTGGTCGGAATCAAATGAGAAGCGATTTTTGGTGGAGTACAACAATGAAAAACATAGTGGATACTGGTCACTATGTGCTGCCCTCAAACGGGCACTGGAGGTAAAAATGCGATACATTCATCTGCTCCAAATCATGTATGTTCAGTTTACCTTTATTAAACATTGACATAATAAGACTTTGCTCTGTGTAATCATGAACATTAGCTGATAGATGGAAAGCAGTAAAGAAAAAAAGATGAAAAGCAGTAAAGAAAAAAATTATGATCATGTTTTTCCAGGAAGGGATTCCAATAACCACACCATCATACTACAGTACTGTTAGTCTACGTCAGTTGCAATACATTTTCCGATCAGCGACTGACACTAATATCCCACTGCTGGAAGAACGACTAGAACATCTACATGAAGTTGGAAAAATCCTGGTTGAGGTAATACTGAATTGTGTCAATCTCAATTTTGAGTTTGTAACTTTATTGATCATTTTTCAATTTAAAACAGATGGAATATTGTTATTTATGGTCACCAGAACTTGTACCCGCTTGCCCTAGAGGTTCAGGGAAGGGGTGGGGGAGATTCAGTAGGGCACGAGCCCCCGTTTTGCTACTAAATTTTAAAAATTTCAATGCAAATCAATGTTATGTGCTACTCACTTATCTGTTCTGAAACTGATTTTTATTATTCTTGTATTTTAGAAATTTGATGGAAGTTTTGTAAGATGTGTTGAACAATGTCAAAACAGTGTGGAGAAATTACTTGAAATCATCACAACAAATTTCCCTTGTTTTAGGGATTATGCTGGATTCAAAGGAAAAAAAGGTTAAATACAATGGCTCAAAGTATTTGAATGAAATAGTAAATATTATATTATTTTCTGAATAAATATTTTAATTAAACTATAATAAAGAAATGCTAATCATATATATCTTCCTCATTAAATCATCCATCTATCATTACATCATTGTACCCTTATTCAAGCACTGTTTCTACCATTGTTACATCCCTGTGCACTTTAATGAACCTAAAACCAAGAGTGGTGCATTCCCTTGGGTTTCGCTCAAAATGTTTCAAAAGTGGTCTAGGTGGTGAAGCCCCAAAAAGTATGACAATTGTAGGGTTTCAAAGGCTTATTTAATGACGAATTGTGGTTTTTCTCCCCAACGGGCGTTATCCCGCTGGGGGCCCTGGCGCCCCCCCATTGGTGTCACCCCGGTAGGAATGGGGAAGGGAAAAATCGGACTATATCAGTGCTTCTAACATTTACTGTCATTTATTTTCAGTATCTATATTGAAGAGAGCTCAGATTCTTGTGGCAGATATATGGGCTTGCTTTGAGGGCAAAGGTTATGGAAAATTCCATGATGTTTCGCTCCTTACAATGTTTGCAGATTATAGGTAAACATGTATTCTTGTCATTTTTTTGTTTGTTACCTGATTCAACAAGAACATAATGGGACAATGGTATGTGGCATCCATAAAAGCATTCTGTCGCACATTGCATTCTATTAATACAACGGTCATCACAGACGGAAATTTTGTTTGCTTTTCTGTCTACAGTACATACTTGGCAGGCAGATGATTATAGGAGTTGCCGATTAGTCGGAATAATTTTTGTCCTCCAACAGTTTTTGGTAATAGATAAAATTCTATGCTGAGTAACATGTCTCTCTTTCTCATATTGTGGATCATCATAAAGAATATAATATACTTTACATTTTATTCCATTGCCATGTGCTGCCTTTGCATTCTTTGTTATTACTGTAGGCCTTTACACATCATGAATCAGATCACAGACTGATTCACTACTAACAATGTACCCATTTTACTCTTGGGTTGTCAAAAGCAGAGCAACTAAAGTGCAACCAAAGAACAAGTGATTAGTCTCGTGCATGAACCTACACTTTTTATAGTAAACGCTTAAAACCTTCCTTTCTACCTTAATTTACTGCTTTTATTAATAGGGTTCCTCAGGTTTTAAATTACTTTGGGGTCTTGGAGTACTCTACCGCCCTCATGGAGGATTTAAAATCTTTTAGGCTTTTCACTCCAGGCGAGAGACTTGAAGTGGAGATAAGAGGCAATTCCATATGGGCAGTAGAGGTAAGCCACTGTTATTTTTTATCTGACTAATTGACTGTTAAGTTGGGCTGTTCATTAGTTGAACGTGTATAATTTTGTTATGTAGTATAAATTTTTTTTTTTTATAAAATAAAGTATTAATTATTTTGTTCATTTCATTTCATTAATACACTTCCTGGTCCTGAGGCTAGATTGTATGTAACTTATACATTGATATACTGTAATAGTGTTGTAAAATCATACCAATGCAGCTAAATATGAATTAGAATTCCAAAGTAAATCATAAGGGAACACGTTAAATTGTAATTCTATGAGTACCCTATTTATTTGAATAAAAAGCCCAGGGTGTTTATTGTTGATAATTTTGTTTGTGGGGATGTTTATTTGAGGAAGGCATTTACTTTAATTTTATGTGTAAATGGATATATAAATACTCAAATAAACGCCCCCTTAATTTGATTGTAATTGTGGAACTACAACACATAATTACCACTAAAATATGTTATTGCATAATAATAATAAAGACTTACTGATCTTACCCAGTTAGAATAAATTTCATTCTACTTGAGTAGAACATTAATAGAATGTATCAAGAAAGTTGCTGCTTCAATTATTTTTTTACATTCAACTTGGGTGGGGGTGGCTGTTGATTTGAGTCAAAAGTAAATGCCCTGGGGAATTTATTCAAGGGAGGTGCTTATTCCAGATGAGGCTCTGGAGTTGGCATTTATTAGAGGGGGAAGGGCCATTTATTCAAAGCAGGTGTTTATTCTAAAAAATATGGATCTTGCTAATAATAATGTATTCAAAATAATAGTTCTATTTTGAAAGACACTTCTTATTGGTTATTGATTCCAAATAAAAGAAATTTGAAATTGAATTGAACTTTGTCAAAGTCACAATATCATATTTATGGGATTTTTATTTGTTTTTCAGTTGATAATGGAGAAACTGCGCCAAGTTCAGGAAAGCAGTGTACTTGATGGAGTTCATTTAAACGCGGTCATTGTCGACTTCTATCTGTGGAATTTCTCCAAGGATCATTGGGCCGACATGCAGCATATACCAATACACAGGATTAGAAGTATCTGCTACTAAAGAATTGCTAGTTCCTAGGGGGTTGTCAGGGACATTGTGTGTGTGACTAAAGTCCAACTAAGACAGCGTCGTACAACACAACCTGACGTGATTTGTTGTTGGGTTTGTGTGAGTTAAACGCTGATGCAATAGATAGGCCTGTGTCAGTGGCAGTCGCGTCGTGATATTAAACGTTCTTAATATTCTCACGACAACCTAAAGACTGTCCCAAACAATAAATCATGACGCTGTCTAAGTGTGGGAAAAAACAAATGTGTGTGTGTGTGAAAAGTGTGATTTTTTTTCCCCTAAAAACAAGTAACACTGATGACATTAATAACATGTTTTTGGTATAAAAATACCCCTTTAATAATAAATTTTTCCTGTAACTTTTACTGCAATGCATGACCTTTTATACATTTTTATGTAATAGGAGTGATTCCTGTCTGCATTACAAATCATGTTTAGACCCTTTTTTATTTTATAAGCATAATAATACAAATGTGTATTTATACTTGGTCAGCTTTATCTATATAAATGTGATTTTTATATATTATGTATATCTATTCTAATAGTGCTCTTAGCAACAGTAATGTTTTTCTATACATAGATAATGGTGAGCAAGATATTTTCAATAATTTTATCCTTTCTTAAACAGAACTATGTCCAATACTGAAATTTTACTAAACATATTTTCTTTATTTAATTCTGAAATATGTTCAATAAATAATATTTTACCTTGGCAATAAAAAGTGTTACGATGTCATACCGTGAAAAATACATTATCATTGGCTGTTGAGTTTATGACTGAGATCCTAGTCTCTGATGGGTCAATTTGATTTAATATCTGGTACTTATCCTTGCCTTCCAATCCCAGAACGTGAATCAAGACCTCTTAATCCAGGATTTTTATTTTCATGACCAAGAACAACACCACCACTTAGTACTTACAAAAGTTTATAGATTTTTACTTTAAAGTCACCTGCTGTATGAGATTGAAATATAAATAATAATAATAATTCTTCAATACAAAATGTATTATGGGCTCTCAGCTGCCTTAAAGGGCCCGGAATATTCATCAGCATTTTTCCCATACATCGGTCCCGACTAACATGTAAAAAAAAAAACATCAAAAAATACACCCCTGAAGCGTAAAAAATGCTGGTGCATCTGGGCTTTTTCCTCAGGGTGGTAGGACCCGGAGAAGCCTTGGCCAGGGAACTCATTGTTACGTCACTGGTTAAGATATTTGCCTTCTAATCGAGGTGTTCTGTGTTACTGTATATACACTTCAGACACAGAGGATGTTTTCTTTCGCGTTCTAATCGAGGTGTTCTGTGTTATATCGTTTCAAACACGGAGGATGTTCTCAGAATGGGCCTCTCCACTAAACTCTGCCCTTTGGATGTTCTTGCTAAGGTTCCACGAAACGACAGTGTGTACGTAACACGTGCGTATGTTGAAAGTGCGCATTTTACTGGTTTTATTTAACGTCCTTCTGTTGAATTATCTTTAAAAATGACTATTATAAACAGCTCCCAATGCCTTGCTATAAGACTTGCTGTATTTTACAAAGCATAACTTGGACCTGTGAGAGAACAGTAGCTTGAATGATAATGTACAGTAAAAAACAAAGCGCTGTAGGACTATCCCTTCGTGTTGTCTCAAGGTTAATCAAATATAATTCCCGTTATATCATCATTACAACTCTCATCACTACTACCATTCGGTAGGCTTTCGTTTAACTCATTTTCCGAGTCCGTTACTGAATCAATGTGGTAGAAGTTAGCCTTGCTACAGGTTCCGGGTAGAAGTCAACCAGGGGGTCGGGTGGCTGGCTCTCAAAGTACGGAAGAACGACACACTGACTCTGATGGCACTTTGTCTTGTACCGACTTCGCTTTCTTCACTTCATTGGTCTTGTTTTTATCTTATTGGCGCATAGAGACAGCTGTATTATGCACCTTACAAATCCATTGATTGATTGAAACTTCGGGCCTATGTTTTGTCCTTCGTACGGATTTCGACTTGTATTACAGTGTATGATATAAAATAAATGACAACAGCACTTTTAACACTAACAATATAGAATTTATTACAGTATAAATAAACTTAGATTCCTCTCAAGTACTGAAAATACCTCATCGATTGCAAACAAATTGGATTCGGAACTAATCTATTTGGCACTGTTTGCGCCATGCATATCACTATTTGGAGAGCCGAGCTCTGAAAGCAAAGTTGAACAAGCATATGCCATGAATGAATGACGTCGACTTCAAAACTCGGAGGTAATTACCTTAAGAACTGATACTGTTAACTACCAAACAAACGTAACCCCTCTTCTACTGCCCAGTTAAAGACCATTGGTCAATATTTGTAAGGACAGATAAATAGTTTTACTACACATACCGATGTATTTAATCTGTTAATGATCTCACGAAAGTTAGTATCAACATGGAGGTGGTATCAATTAGGCCTAAGTTTTTTACGGGTCAGTTAGAGTTAGACCATTGAGACTGTAAGATGAGGTCTTAAGTAGAGACCATTGATACTGAAATGGGGTCCTTTGTAGCAATTGTTTCTCCTGTCTTTTGTCTAGTTCATTTATTATTAACGAGTGGTGTAATTGTATACTGAGCGTCATAGAAACAAAACGTTATTAGGCAGCAGAAAAACGTAGGTTGATGTGGAACCGTTGTTTCTCTTTTATGTTGTACGTTGTATTTATGAAATATTTCAAGGGAGTAAATAGTAAGTAAGACTGAAAAATTGAGCTTTTGACCAGGGATATATATAAGAATATTTTTTTATACCTTCCTGTTTTGATTATGGAGAGGCAGTCTGATTTAACTTTCTTTGGTTTTACTAGTTTAGCACTCCGACGGAGTATTTCTATTCGTAGACCTACATTGAATATGGTATACCTTACATTCTATTTATTATGAGATGTCTAATTCACTGTGCGTTGCATTCACATCTAATGTTTACATACTGTGTACACTTTACTTGATTCAGGCCATATGTCAGTTGATATGGTAACAGATATTTTTAACGATCAGTTTGGGAATAATATCGCAACCTGTCTGAACTCATGCGAGATATTAAGAATTTTGAGCTCACTGGCTGACTGTTAATGTTAGATGTTGCTATGAATTCTGTGAAAAACCATGTATTTTCTTACAAGAAGACAATTGGTAGGTTTTAAGAATTTAATAGCTTGTTTTTATGTCCCACAATTACATTGTTAGAACGTGGTATTCATGGTTGTTTTTGTAGGCCTGTTATTGTTTTACTAGTTTCGTTGTTTCAAATGCACAGTTTATTTCAATTACTATACATCGTTAATGTGTTAAATAATAACAGCACAACATTGTTTTTAATATTTTGAGTTATGCATACTTATTAATTGTGTGCGTGTACTTTGAGAGGTTGCTGACGGAGTCTTTGGATGGGTACATCATCATATTAACTGACACAAATTATCTGTGCTGTATGTATTAATTATTAATTTATGTGTTGGGTGGACTAAAAAGTATTAAAACATAATTTAAGTGGATATGCCCCGCGTACTACATCATCGCCGTGTGCACAGTGGCGTAGCTTACGGAGAGTGCAGCCAGTGCAAGGTACTGGGGCCCTAGGCAATTAGGGACCCGTTCATAAATAGACCTCAAAATAATAATTTAAAATAATTTCCGACTTAATTTTGAAGAAAAAAAAACGGCCAGCGTGCTCCTCAATAACATGCAGTTTTTAGAGGATTATAATTATTGATTACTGTGTTGATTCCAATTAAAAGGGGTTCCAGCCAGCCCGACCCCCTATTTTTTTCAAAACTATGACAACTGCGGAAAAAAGGAAATTATATCATTCATTAGTATTTTATAAGTCTGAGAGTGCCATTTCCGGATATTTAGAGATGCTGTAATCATGAATTTTCTTACCTCAGCCCCACCATGGTTGGTTCTTCATCCTTCTGTGAAAATCCCCCTGGCCCTCTATTTCGAATTCCCTGATCCACCACTAAAATTATTTAATTTTATCGAGCCATCAATTTTCCTGATCAGTTTATAACAGCTGCTGACACCGAATATGCCTCTCTTATAATAGTTACGAATCCGATTATCATTAGTATTTATTACAAAACCCATGCCTTTATGAGTCTTTAAAAGAAGCAATTCTTAAATGAATGTTAAGAGAACTTATACGGAACCCTATCACATTATTATTATTATTATTATTATTATTATTATTATTATTATTATTATTATTATTATTATTATTATTATTATTATTATTATTATTATTATTATTATTGTTATTATTATTCTATTGTTATTATTTTATTATTATTTGCATTTTCTCGGTTGGCCTATATTATTTCTGTGTGAAGCGCATAGGGGAAATGTGCAATACTCGCTAAATATAACATTATTATTATTATTATTATTATTATTATTATTATTATTATTATTATTATTATTATTATTATTATTTTCTGCGCATGCAGGGCTGCCAATTTATCATTTTCAGACATGTCGCACTTGTATATTTGGAGTATAGTTGATATATTATTGTTTGTCAGATCAGATTATATTATAGTTTGTTTTTTTTCAAAGCTGTTAATTTATAGTTGTTACGATAAATAGAATATATTTAATTTCAAATGATATATGTTCTTTATTTCAGAAGCTTGTTCAGGTTTGTGAGATGTTTTGATGAAACGTAAAATTTAATTATTGTTGACAACTAAAATGGAAGGAGTTGGAGACGCATCCTTTCCGCTTCTCGACAACGAAGTCAGAATCAAGTCAAAGCGCGATAAGCCTAAGAAAGGTGACATTAAATTTGCTAGTCATAAGCAGACTCTACAACACACTGTCAGAGCGAAAAAGATCAATGAAACTCACCTGTTCCACTTCTTACGATCTGTCGACGATCAGAAATGCAAGCGAACAATTCAGATTGATAAAGCTGTCTCTTATACACATCTAGATGTGTATAAGAGACAGGTCTATAGTTGATATATTATTGTTTGTCAGATCAGATTATATTATAGTTTGTTTTTTTTCAAAGCTGTTAATTTATAGTTGTTACGATAAATAGAATATATTTAATTTCAAATGATATATGTTCTTTATTTCAGAAGCTTGTTCAGGTTTGTGAGATGTTTTGATGAAACGTAAAATTTAATTATTGTTGACAACTAAAATGGAAGGAGTTGGAGACGCATCCTTTCCGCTTCTCGACAACGAAGTCAGAATCAAGTCAAAGCGCGATAAGCCTAAGAAAGGTGACATAAAATTTGCTAGTCATAAGCAGACTCTACAACACACTGTCAGAGCGAAAAAGATCAATGAAACTCACCTGTTCCACTTCTTACGATCTGTCGACGATCAGAAATGCAAGCGAACAATTCAGATTGATAAAGAGGTTGGAGAAGTTGAGAAATTTTTGGACAAATTAACAAAAGACCGAGAAGAAATTAAGCGACGGAGGATAGCGCGACGGAACGCGCGCAGTGCCTTGAGTACCGGTAATAGCCTACCAAACACCAGTCCATCGACTTCAGTGGCTGTAAAAACTTTGCGAAGGCAGTCTACAAAGAATAGTTTTAATGTTTCTCACTTCAATGAGCTAGCTTTTAAAATGAAATTAATGAGACAGTCCAAGACGCCCGACACTGCAACAAATCTGCTAACATCCTATTACCAATTTGACGCGATTGGAAACCGTATAAATGATATTCCAATGAACAGCTTAAGTTCACCACTTGCTGGATTTAAAGACTCGAAAATAGCATGGGAACACATTCCAGATAACTGGTCTATGTCGGGTCTGTCGCTGAAGGATTTTGGAAACTTTAGCGTGAAATCATCTAAGCACAGTAGCGAGACTGCGAGTGCCAAAAGTCGACAGTTATCTTCGGACGTCCAAAGTGAGACCAGTAGCACGCTAGATGTGTCAATCTCAGAATTCGAAGGGAAGCAAAATGCGCATAACTACGCGCCCTTACCTAGCAACCCTGATACACGTAAAGAGAACGCTATGACCGACGGGATTGGGGGTGGTGAAACAGAAACTTGTTCTCTCTTGAAAAAATCAGTTATATCGGCTGCATCTAAGAATCGGGAAAATGAATCTGGGCGAAAAAGCAACATGCGGAGTAGAGACAATTGCACTGGTGGAACCAGGCGTGAAGTAACGTTTAGTGAGACTCCGGAAGTAACTCGAATAGGTTCGCCTGTTGCGGGGAAGCCTACCGTAGTAGTCAGGCGACCAGACGGCAGGGAGATCGAGAAGGATGACATTCGAAGTTGTGATGGCGGTAGTAATAGCAGTTTTTCGTCAACTGATTGTGAATATTCGGATTGTATTTATCATAACCGAAAACATTTATTGGTGGCAATAAACAAAGAATGCACCGCACAAGGTTGTTACAAAACTCTTCCAAAGGTTGGTGAAATTACTGGGAAAATGGCAAGGATTCTAAAAAAGGAGAGCGAAGCACCTTCGTCGGAGTGGAAATCGACACCGAAGGTCGCAGTCACTCCGTCACCTACACCGTCAGACATTTTCAGAGACCTGGATACAAGTGTTGGGAATTGTGAAAAGTTGGATTACACTGACTTAGACGTTATGTCGTCGGTTAGACGCCCAGTGAAAGGCTCAAATAGGGAGATGATGTTGAGGAAGAAAGAATTGAATCTCATTACAACGTTTGCTCTCATGAGGAAACGAGTGACAGATCGGATACCTCAGGATTTCAATATGAACTATGGAACGCCCACCCCTAATTGGAAAATACTGAATCCTTTGAAATTGCGCCACAAAGTTGCACATTCTTCGCCTCTTTTCGTGAAATGGAAATTTTAAAAGAGGAAGATAATTAAATTGGAGTATCATAAGAATTATTATTTATAAGGTAACAATAAAGAAAATGTGTAGGCCTATTAAGTGATTGTATTATCATCATTATTACCGTCATAATCAAGCCTACCATAATCATTAATGATATCAACCGTCAACACATCATCCATCATCACCACCATCATCCTCATTGTCATTGCCATCATTATTATAATCATTACCAATATCCATCACAGTCAATGTTATCTTGTAAGCAACGTCGTTCAAATAGCAATCTCGTAATAGCATAATTACCGCTTAAGAGAATTTGGAGACTTTAAATATGCGGTATGCAGTGCCGACTCATTTTCTTATTATAATATAGTTACATTGATTACTTCGTCATTGTGATTTCAATAAACCTACAATGGAAACCAATAGCTACTTTCTTAAGCGTCGAGTTTAAACTAGTTTTACAATTTATATCACTCAACTTACTTAAGTAATTTCAGACTACACATTCTACGTGTCACCATATCAGTTTAATATTCCCACATTTGAAACCCGAAAAAAACGTTCTACACCCTTTGTAGCCTTGGAAAGATAGCCTAGAATGAAAATAATCCCATTCACTCCCACCTTGCAACTCACCGATCCTTTCTATCCACTGTCGCACCTCCCACTTCATCAAACATCATTCCTTCCATATGACTCTTTCACAATCTCTTCTTCCCTTATAAAGCAAGCTCTCAACATGTAGGCCATTATTGACTCACCTTTTCTAAATATCTTGTAAAATTATTTATTGTATTTGTATTGCATTGTTTATTGTATTTGTATTGCATTGTATTGTAATATTTGTTAGCGGATAATGACACTTGATAAGAAGCAATTTGCATTTAATTGAATTGAACACTACTCACGATTTATTTAGCCTAGGCAAACCATCAATCTACTGAAATGGGGTTTTCTCATATGATTAAAATTAGAATTTGCATAAGCCTATCTACCCGGTAAGCAAAGAAACGTTCGTCATTGCGCAACCAGAGCCGCACATACTGGTATCCTCATCATACTGTACTAAATAAAACACGATTAAGTTCAACTTAAAAACACATATACTTGATTTAAGGTAAGGCAAATGTAAGTTTTTAGATCAACTGGTCATCATGATGGAAGGATTATTTGCATGTAAGCTATGGGTGTCTATAGCTATGGGTGTAAGCTATGGGTGTCTATAAAGCGAAAATCAAAGACCCTACTAGACGAAGGAATAGGTTTCAAAAGTAGGCCCTACACATGACTCGTTCCGACTAATGTATTAGTCATAGAAGGGTATTCGATCCAGCCAAAAGAATTCATTGGCGCACAGTCGGCAATGGGTGGCACAGGGGAACATGTTCTCCACATTTCAAAGTGTAGTTTAAACCCACACTTTTCAAAGTGGAAGGGGTAAATTAATATATTATGATTATTTTTGCCTGAGGTTCACTGGAGGGGTTGGGCAGTGTCCTGACCCCAGCCCAAGCTCGGCCCTAAACATGTGTACAATATTTTTAACATAATTTAATCCAATAATCTGAAAAGTTAGTTGATTTCGGATGTTCTAATGTTATTAGAGGCTTTCTTCACAAAGTATTCTACTAATAGATTTTTTTTGATGAAGGAAAAACAATTTTGTTGAAACTGGTACTATTCGCTTCAAGCAGTTGACGGGAAATTATTAAAAATATTCGGAAGTCCGTTTTCTGTACCACAATAGAATTGATACTGTATTTCCATGATCATAGTGATTTTACTTTTTGAATGTATTTAATAGACAAGGTACAACTTACTTTGGTTTGGTGATTACATGTAAAATATTTTATTTCCAAGTAAATCTGGAGTCATCGTACTGCCGTCCATTTAAGAACCAGAAGTAGCATCAGCTGCAAATGATATTTGTTCTTATGCTGTGAGAACGTATATCAAACACCATTTTGTATGCTTTTCATGTTTTTGCTATCAGAAAAATTCAATCTACCTTCAAACCTCTAATTTAGCTCTTACCTTTTACTCTGATTTATATTTCATTACCAATGGTACTACACGGCTGAGCATTGGTCAATTAGGCCGAAGTTTGGTGTAAATTCTAATTCATTAGCTACTAAAAGATGATGTGAAAAGCTAAAACCAAAACACAGACACATAATTTCCAATATTAAGGCTAAGAATTGCAATCTTTATTTTATCCTTAATTTATTTTTAGGCTCAAGACCAACAGCAAATTTAACCATTATACTAAGTAGCGATCCTTTACAAGACAAACTCACAAGCAAGATGCTCTTCATAAATTGAGTCTAAGGAAGTGGAGTTGTTTGTTGTTTTTGGCCGTGAACAAAATTTCTGTAACCGTGAATGGACCTTTCCGCTAAGCTCCGCCCCTTGGATATTGTTGCTAAGGTCCCACAAGACGGCAGTGTTAAAACATACGCGAACACGTGCGTTTGTGGGACAACACGTGTGTTTGTAAGACGCGCGCGTATTCCTAGCGCTGTTCTGATTAGTCAGTTGTTAAGTTTGATTGACACTCCGGAAAGGTCTATTGAACCCAGGACTGTGGGTTTAGATGGCACACATCTTAACCACCGAGGTAGATCTCCACTCCAATCTTTAATTAAATGTGTTTTTACTCCAGTAATGTTCAATGGCGATTCAGGAATTTGAAATACACAAATGGGGGACCTATACCACCTCAGTCCCACCATGGTTTGGGCTTAAGTAAGAACATGTATGATTATGATTACCTCCAGATGGTTGGAAATGACATTCTCACACTTACATTGAATATAATTTTATATCTATCTCCATTTATTTATAATAAAAAATAATAATTAGGGAAGACGGGCCGGCTGCCACCCCCTTGAATCACCACTGATGTTACAACATTGGCCACTTCCCCGTATAAAAATGAATGTATGTAGGTCATTTGATGAAAGGTTTAAATAATGTTTTATGTAAAAACACTTCTCTTTTCGTTTTATAGGCCTAAGTATCGTAACATAAGTGAAGCTTAGAACCACGAATCAGAGTCCAACAGAAGGGTTGTACGTCGAGATGAATTCACACATGTTAAGTTATCTACATGGTTTCCTCTCATACACTCGTAGTTATAATTTGCGTGTGCTTGCTGGCGATGAGCAGATTGGAACAGCATATAAACAAGCAAAACTGAGAGGGAGACTTCCTTTTAATAGATCAAAAATTTTAATTTTAGGAGATCACGGTGTGGGAAAGACATCAACATGTAGACGCTTACAAGGAAAAGATTTTAGAGATGACGAGGCTAGCACGGTAGGAATTGAAACAAATACTGTTAAAGCAAATGAACGTGAACAGTAATTGGTGTGATGTATCAAAAGTTTCCAATTTAGCAAGAGGGCGCCATTCATGCGCTATTATACCAA